CACCCCAATGTACAGTCCTTCAGGCTGCAACTGTGTACTCTACTCTGTGCAGGCCACCACACACTTCTGCCCCCTTGCTGGGGCCAATCTCTCTCTGCCCCCTCTCTGGGGCCTCGGGTCTTATACCCCTTGGGGCTCACGTGCCTCTCTGGGCATGCCTGGACCCCTGCCTGTCCCTAGTATGGGTTTACCCACCCGGATGTTGGGGATGGGGCTTTAAGGCACCCCTTCCTCACCTTTCACTGGGGAGGCAACTGGCCTGGTATTTCCTGGGGACCATCCCGCCATGGGCGGACCCACCAGACCATCCTACCCCAGCAGGGTGTAGTTTTTGGTCATTCCCCAGGACCAGGTGCTTCCTGCCATTCCCATAGCTCCTGCCCTTACCTCCAAGATGTTGTGAGATGCAGCTCTAGCTGGGTGGTGTTCTCTCCATAACTGCAGCCAGCAGACTGCTGGCTTTCCTGAGGGCCTGAGCTAAAATGGAGGCTGCTCAGCCCCCTCCTCCTATCACAATGCCCTCCTGCAGTCATGTGACTGCCTCATTAGGGCTAGCCTACACCTGATGGCTGCTTTGCTGCCTGCTCTCAGCCCTTAGAGTGGCAGGCACCAAAGGTGCTCTGCCACAGCCAGTTTCCCAGCTCATTAAGTTGTTGAGGCTGTAATTTCTCAATTTAACCATGATGGCATTGTGGGAGACCAAGTCAAAGGTCTTTTTGAAATCCAAGTATATGACATCTACCTCATCTCCCTTATCCAGGTGGCAAGTTACCTGATCATAGAAGGAGATGAGGTTGGTCAGGCATGACCTGCCTGCAACAAAGCCATGTTGGCTGTCTTTTTAGAATACTGCCTCCTATCACTGATGGATTCTTTGATAAATTTTCCAGGATTTTTTCCAGGGATTGAGCTCAGATTGAATGGCCTGTAATTCCCTGGGTCCTCCTTCATTCATCTCTTGAAGATAAGCATCACATTGTCCCTCTTTCAGTCTTCTGTGACTTCACCCGAGCGCCATAAGTTCTCAAATAGCTTTGCCATCAGTTGTGCAATGATGTCAGCTAGTTCTTTCAGCACTCTTGGGTGTAGTTCATCCAGTCCTGCTGACTTGTAGATATCCAGCCTCTCCAGGTACTCCCCCACAAGATCTTCACTGATTATAGGTGGGTGATCACTCTCACCTTGTCCATCCTTCTTTCTGTCAGGCAAGTCAATGTCCTTGGTCTGGTAGAATACCAATGCCAAGTATTCATTTAGGAGTTCGGTTTTCTCCTGAGTGTTCCATTGCGTTCAGCAGGGGTCCTACGTTTCCCTTATTTTTTTCCTGCTCCCTACGTATCTAAGGAATGACTTTTTATTGTCTTTGATTTCTATTGCCAGTTTATATTGGATTTCTGCCTTGGCTTTTCTAATCTGCTCCCTACAGTTTGTAGAATTCAGTGTTCCTAAAATCAAGGATTTCTACCCTACTAACTGATTTCCCTGCCTTACGATCCATGGTGAAAGTGACCATCTCGTGGTTGCAATTGCCTAGATTACCCTCAATCATCAGATTACTCACTAGATCATCCCCTTTTGGCCAAATCCAGGTTGCCTTTCTTCTGGTTGGCCTGTATACTTCTTGAGTCAAATAGAGCTCCTCAATGCAAGTAAGGAAGCTATGTGGCCACTCAGATCTAGCTCAGTGCTCTTCCCATGAGATGTCTGGGTAATTGGGGTCACCTACAATGATTATATTCTGTGAGTGCCTCTGCCAGTTCTCTGGAGAATTTCAGATCAAGCTCCTCCACTTGGTTCGGAGATCTGTAATATACTCCTACTGTCAAGTCCCCTTCACCATGCTTTTCTTGTATCTTAACTGTTATTATTTTTATCATCACTCTTGACTGTATCTCTTTCTTGCTTCAGTTCTTTTTGGTAGTCAGCAGTACCTACTATTGCTAAACAATCTAGTTTCTAAGTCCCTGTATATAACATTCTAAAACACTTACCTCTTGGACTGAAATTTTCCATGCTAGGGACCATTTTTTGCTTGCCTTCATCTAACAAGTAGGTCCATGTTTCACCCAGTAGCTAACTGCTCATTAAATATTAACACTAAAATAAATGTGTGTAAAATGTTTTAGTTTTTCATGTCACACTTGTTATTTCAGCTTCAGATGTTGGCATCTTTTATATTCAAAGCATAATACTGATGAAAGCCTGAAGCTTTCTACTTTAAATATTTACCTTATAAAGATGGGAAACACAAGCTAGCTAATCTCTGCATATCCTACTGGCAACTTGTTTATGAGAAATTAAGCAACAGCATGATATAGACCTTTTTTTCTGTGTGGAGGAAGTGTGGAGGAATAATTTGGATTCTGTTCTGTTCTTGAGCTCAGCAACTCTTTCCAAAATGTTCTCTTAAATCACTAACACTTAGGCAGTATTCTTTTTCAAAGCATTTCACAAATATAACCTTCACTGAAGCAAGTCAGTAAATTTAGTATTCTGCATTTTATACCTGGGGAAATTGAGGTAGTAATACTATGTAATTTAACCCAGGACAAAAGGGCATTTAGAATATAGTTCTTATCCACCAGTGCTGGCTTTTATCATATAGAGCCTAATCCATAGCCCATTGTGAGTTATTGGTTTCAGTGACATCAACTGCATTAATATTAGAGGCATGTGTCATGTATGAAAGGTTAGAAGAACAGTGACCATGTGGGAGTCAGCATGAGGTTGGATTCTAGACTTTCCTCCATTGTAACATGGGGAATCTAGTGTTGTAAAACACAGATTTTTCCCCACTTTGTGATTTAAAAACCTAAATCTGACTGACTTGGTGGCTGCCTTGTGAATAATAGAATTTAAGTGATATCCTGACTTGGCCACAACATGTGCATAGGTGACACACAAATGCTGACAGTGGGGTGGGGGGCACAACTGCATACTGCTGCCACAGTGGGGAGCACAACTCCATGCCACTGCCCCACCCCTGCCTCCGCTGCTGCTGGGTATTGGGTCTGGCCAGGCTGCAACTCCACACCCCACCATTGGTGCAGAAATGGTGCCACTGTCACTACCCCTACTGCTGCTGGGCCCTGGTTCTGGCCAGGCTGCAGCCCCAGGCCCAATATCCAACTGTCAGCATGGAAATCTGGGGGGGCACATGCCCACCCAACATGTCACGTTTGTACATGTGAAAACATGACATTGTGTACATGAGGTGCAAAGTTTTGTTTAAAATCCTATTCACTGAGATAATTTAAAGCACAGCCAGTCTAGATGTGAACTTTGCAAATAATTTCTAGTTTATACAAACCTAGTTTAATGTAAATACTAGAGTTAATGTAATAATTTTAATAGGCAATGGGATTTGTGGCCCATGAAACTGAAACCTATCTATGTTGCAAGACATGATAAGCAGGAGCAATATAAGCTGTTTTTTCAGACTCCATGCAAATGACATGCTACTACATCACTATAGTACAAGCTGAAGGCTGTTTGCAGAGTGACATGGCTCCTGCTTCTATGATTCCTGAGGGTTTAGTGCTTGAATTGTGTGCAATACTTCTGAAGTCTTGTTGACCATTAGAATAGCTTGGGTCCTTAACTATAGCTTACTGAAGTTATATATCCTAAATTTACTGCTTCCACTTCAGGACAGCAGCTGACAATCAAGCAGGAAAGAAAATAAATGAGATATGCAATTTAATTAAACCACAGTGTTTGTTAACTTCCTTTAGTTTGGAAGTATCCAGCAATAGCTTGGATGGCGCAGGTCATGATTCCTCCTTTAATTGTTTCCTTCTTGTGGGGGGTTATCATCAACCTCTAACCCTTCCACAGCTGGTCCTGGCAATGAGCTGGGATCCTGTTGACCTCCCCTCATATTAAGGTTAAATGGCTTAGGAAAGAGGGTTTGTCTCCTTTTTCTACTAGTCATTAAAAGCCACTTTTCACATTCCCCAGCTTCATTTAAGAGATGTCTTCTCCTCAGTCCACTTGTAATTCTAATTTATTAGGAAACTAGGTCTCCCATAGAATGAGGACTTTCACTAGGCATCTGCCATAAGGAGGTGCTAACAGTTAGCTTGGCTGCCTGCCCCTTTCACCATAGCTGTAACACTGTCCAAAAGTATATTTGTTCCTTGATTAGAGAGGTATGTCCCATCATCCCTGAATAACTTAGGTGTCAAATATAACATTTTTAATGTGTAATTACCAGTGCTCCCTATTTCCAGTAATCAATACATCTCCTGGCTTGGTTGACTTGTGGAAGTCTGATGCCTCTCCACAAAACTCTATGCCACAGCATTTCAGATGAATGTGTAGCTACACCAGGAAAGGGTCCTGGATCTGCATTTAGTCTATCTGGGCCCTGATTATTGAATTCAACACACTGACAAAATCTCAAATAATGGTGTACAATCATCATTTCTGGTATCTAATTCCATGTCATCGAAGTGTGTCAGAAGGTCATCAGCTGTGTAAAGGTTTGATATCTTGCCATTCCAGTTCAAATTTCTGCACTGTTTTGGCTTGGTATATCCATGCCATGCCACAATCAGGTAACATTAAGATTCAGTCTGGCATTCTTTAATTGCCTTTTCAGCAGTCTGAGGCTACATCCTGACTCGTTGCTGGAGGTATAGCTGCTTCTAGTGTAGATGTTTCTGACTTAGCTTTAAGTAGTGTGGCTGAGGATTAAGCAACAAATGCAATGACTCTATGGCTTCATTGCTGGTACGTGACTAGTTAGATTAAAACTTGGGTAGAAGCATTATGTAGCTGCTGGCCTCTCTTTTATTTTTCTTCCTGTTGATATAGACAGAGAACTCTGCTTTTGAAGCTACAGAGGTTACATTTTCTTGAAGATACTCTTGGCCAAATGTTCAAAATTCCAGCCCTAAAACTGCAGAAAAATGTCATGTAATTTGTTCCAGTTGCCATAATTGTGCATACACTTTGCCTTCATTAGCTGTAATATGTCCTTTTTTAATCTCTTACAGACAAGAGCGGAACAATCCCAAGGTGCGTACTTCCTGCCTGAGTTTGCACTTTCTCCACAAGGGAGTTTTCTTGAAGATACAACAGGGGAACAATTCCTCACTTACCGCTTTGATGATCAGGTCAGTATGATAGAGCTTTGTCACACTTGCACAATAGTGAGATATTAAAAATTGCTTGAATTTTCACATGTAACAAATGAATCCATTATTTTACCCGTTACCTTTTTGATGACTTAGAATGACAGCATCTTTAAAAAGAAGCTAAATCAGTGCATTTTATTGTAGAATTATTAAAACATCATTTGTGGAAGAGTGGTAACAGTTATTAAACCTCAGTGTAAATGTTAAACTTAAAATGTTCTCAGGATATTTAATAGATCATTATAGAAGATATCCCAAAAAGTATCAAATTAAACAGTGATCAGATCCTGTCTGTGGGTTGTTTGAATTCTGTATCAAGAGTATAAATTTGTGTTAAGAAAGATCTCCAATAAAGCTACAGAAAGCCTATAAGTAATTCCAATAATTCTTTATGAGTATTTCATAGGGAAAACTAATTTGTATGTTAATAACGCAGAGCACTTCACAGTTTACAGAACTATACAAACACTAAGACTAAATACAAGCAATCAAAAAAAGCCTGAGGCTGAATCGATTCAATCTTTGCGGGTGATTGTAAGCTGAGTAGACTAAACTGATAAGCACGGGAACAGACATTCACTTTTGATTCTGGAAATGCAGCCACATGCCTGCAGTGACCCAGGCCAGAAGCCAGGGGGGTGCTAGAGCACACCTCCCTGCTTGACTGGAGCAGACAATTTGGGCCAAGGCTAGCCTGCCCAACCTGCAAGGGGGTGTGTAAAGGGGAGGTACAAAGCATCCTGGCATGCTGGAGAACTGGGAGTTACTGGAATTTGGAGGGGATCTGGGACAGAAGTTCAGTAAACTAATTTAACTTAAATCAGGTTTGTCTGATTCTACATTCATCCAGGTTTATCTTAAACCAGTTTCAGCCACTTTGAAAGTGGTGTGTGTACACTGAACTTCTGTTGTGTTGCAGATTTGAACCGGTTTCAGATGACTTATATCAGTTTGTGTGTAACTTCTGTCTTTAGCCTAAGGACGCAAGTGACATTTTTTTTCATGGGGGCGTGGGTGGGGGCAGTTGCATGGAGTTGTGACAAGTGACTTTTTTCACATGATCAGCCACTGAAAGCACTCTACAGCTATGCCTTTATGGAAGGGCAGAGCCTGCAGAGTGCTTTAAAAGGGTCCAGTCCTGTGACAATCTGAACCCTCATTACATGAGAGTTCAGATGGAGGCACTGCAAAGTGGAGCGCCTTTATTAACTTGTGTCAGTACACATTGTTTTCAGAATGAAGTGGGGGGCAGGGGTAGGAGAGGAGCAGAGAGAGCTCATTTTGGAGGTTGCCCACCTTGGGGAGGCTCTAATGCACCCTCCCCACCTTCCAGTACTTACATTGCCCCTGTAATATGTCTCAACTTCCCTAAGGCTACCTAGATTCAATAGTAGAGGCAAGATTGGTGTTCTTTTTCTGTAGTATGTTTCTTGCTGCTCCTTTACATGACCATTTAAATAATCTATTCGTATAAAGAGAGATTAAATAAATGCTGTTCATTTCCTTGAAGTAGCCAAGAAAACTTTTTTAAGTTTAAGGCTGAGAAATACTGTAATATGAAATATCATACCATGTAAATTGTTGAAAGGTTATTTGTATTTTTATTTAGGGGTCAATTATCTGGTAGTTCTTTAAAAGTGAATGACAATGCAGGAAATACTGTAATACTGGATGAAGAAGGGTGTTTTAAGAGTAACAAACCTTTTATTCTGGCATTAAGGACCAAAAATGCTTTCTTCAGGCTACAGAGAACATTACTTTAAACATGGAATACATATATTAATGTAAAGAATGCAACATGAAAGAATCTCTGTTAAGCTTAGCAAACAATATGAAGTAAACCTAGGAAGTTTGTGGCATGCTGTGGAAATTACTCATAACACAGTGTGTTACAGGAGCTTATTGAACTCCACATCAAACCTGTCTGAATTACATTCATAGGCATTTCTAGTACATTTCTTGTAAGAAAGAGGAGATTCTTGGGAAACGATCCCTAGAAAAATAAAAAAGAGCACTCCTTGCCCTTGGGTAATAGAGCATGCTGCCTTCAAGTGATTGACAGTTTTATTGTGAAGGCTGGGCTTATTGCAGTAACCATTTTAAGGAATATTATTATGTTGTTCAATGACTTGCTCAAAAAAGGGCAAGAACTGAGACAGCTTTGTAGCTTCTTTTAGATTTTAAATTATGCAAAGGGAAAAGAATAGTGAGAATCTGAAAGCATGTTGAAATACTGTAAATTATTTGTTTGAATACTGTTGAAATATATGTGGAGTAATTCATGATTTTTTCCTGGAGGATTTTGATTCATCTATAGAAAAGGTACTTAGATAAGATGTCCCCTGGACTAAACACCTGGAAAAGCAATAACCCACAGCTGCGTTTGTGTTCTGTGATTCAGGCTGCATTTAACTGTTAACAAATCCAACAAAAAAACTATACATTTCTGGTGAAAACAACTTCAGCTTCCATTGAATGGAGTGATGTTTAGAGGCAAAAACAATAAATTAAGCATAACAGTGTTTTTATTTATTTGTTGTTTGATTTTCTTTTTTGTTTTTCTGGGACTCAGAATGTATTCTGGTGATAACACATGGTTCTGTGTAGAGGTTTCTTCCAAAGCCTGTTGCAGTCAATGACAATATTCCCATTATGTTCCGTGTATTCGGGATCTGATCCACACGGGTAGTTCTTTCAGAAACATCATGGAGCCTGCTTTCAAGAAAAGAACTGCTTTTAAGATTAGTTTGATACTCAGGAATTGAATTAGTCATACTGAAAGTAACTTTGGCTTTC